AAAAATTTTAAAAAAAAAAAGAACAAAATAAATATTTAAGAACCAAGTCTGTGTTGGGCAGCGCTGGTATCATGAGTTGGACACACCAGCTGGAGAGGTCTGGAGAGATTTCCTAAAAGTATTTGTTCATTTGCTGTCTTTGAAATGCCATTAGCCAAATGCCTACCACACTCAGAAATACACACCACTGTTACAGTGTTGTTAAATAGTTGATAAACCATTTTAGGGCACACCCCCATATTCCAGAGCCTTGAGTTTTCCCAACACAACTATTACAGTAGCTTCAGTAGCAAAGGGTGTGGCATGGTCCAGAACCCTGTTTCTCCTGCTCCCTAATGCTAAACTTGGGTTTTTTTTTTAACCTGTTTAATCATTAACTTCTGATGCATACTTTGATCATCATAATTCTTTTTTTCATTTTTTTAAATTTATTTATTAAATTTAATTTTACATATCAGCCACAGATTCCCTTGTTCTCCCACCCCCACCCCCGCCTTCCCCCCAGCCCACCCTCCATTCCCATCTCCTCCAGGGCAAAGACTCCCCCGAGGATTGAGTTCAATCTGGTAGATTCAGTCCAGGCAGGTCCAGTCTTACCTCATGGGGTTATCATGGAGCTTGGGTGAAAAAGCAGCATGGGTAAATGCACAGTTTAGGTTTAAAATGCTTAAGAAAAAAATTGCATTTGTGTATCGAATACCAATCCTAAATTACAGAACTGCCAAGATGAACGGGTGTTCTGGTCCCTTAGTAATTCTCAAACGGCATGCAAGCCTGCAGACTAAACTAATGTTTGACTGTAACAGAATGGATACATAATAGAATGATAGAGGGCCCTATTCCAAATTAACATATTGGTGTGGTGTGGGACAGAGGACAGAGAATGGTGAAGGCAGATTCACAAACATCTTCCTTCTGTTCACTCCTGTGCTCTTATAGGTGGTGAAGTCGTTCACTTTTGAAATGGGTGAACTTAACAACTTAAAATTAAATCTGTAAGTGAAGAAATGCTGCGGTGAAAACTTGCAGGTGTCTGAGCCG